GGCCTTGTGACTGGCCTTGTGACTGGCCTTGTGACTGGCCTTGTGACTGGCCTTGTGACTGGCCTTGTGACTGGCCTTGTGACTGGACTTGTGAAGGGACTTGTGACTGGACTTATGACACTGCTGTTTTCCCGCATTAGGACAACAAACACAACGTTTCATCTGTAAAGGAAAGAAACCTACCATCGATGCACAGTGTGTATCTGTCCACCTTGTCTTTGTTAAATTCTCCACCTAGTCTTCTTGGTAACTTACCCGAGATATGTGCACTTTCAATTCTCTTCAGCATGGTGTCCACCCAAAACAATGTCTCGCTGGAAGGGTCAGCAGTGATCGGTCCTAGTTCACCCAGGTTCACGCTGAACAGGACAGTGTGCTCCGTGCCGTCGTAAGATGCTCGCTCTATCTTGTGCTGTGTCCGGACGACGTTGGTCCAAAACATGAGGCTGTTGGCATAAGCAAAGCGAAACTGGAATTAATGTCCGAAGGAAAATCTAAGGGCTACTGTAACCCCTGACCACTATGTTAACAGGCATTCCTGAAACTATTGCACCTACCCAGGCAAACAACATTAACATTCATTATACTCGATAGCACCAGTAACACAATCTTGTCAAGTCCATCATATGTCTGGTCAGAAGTAATGGAGATCAGCAATGACAAAGCAGTAACCGACGTTTGATATAATGACCTGTAATGAACATAACAACAAGACTTGATCATGCGACGTGTTTTTGTGACGTTACTTCATCTTACCCTTTTTCAGGAATCAGTGCTATCGCCCTCGGCTTCTGATTGTCGTCTCCTTTGACCACGCCAATCGGCGTTCCATCCAGCCGAGTTATCCGTATCGTATTGGTCTCTGAGCAGGTCCAGAACATCATGCGCGTGTAGGGATCGATGGCAAGATCGTAAGGGTTGTACACAGGTGGATCGCCGGAGTTGGGAATAAAGACTTCAGGCTGTGGAATCAATACAATGATTGAGTTCTTCTGACAGTGTACTAAGGCTTTGGTGTTTATTGCAAACAGGGCTGGTTCAAATCAACTGGCTATGGCTAGGAGTATTACACATGTCAATAGGAAATAACTGACGCTGCTAGCCACAGACCGATTGCACCTGCTTAGTCATGTGACCTATAGTGGGTATCAAATATCAACAAACACGGCGTCCACCAAAAGCAAAGTGTTTCATAAGTATCATTTATCAAAAACAGAGTCAACGGAAGGAACTGTACTTAGACTACTGATGTGCTGGGTACTGTACCGTAACTTGGCTTTATTGTTGGTAAACAACACTCAAAACACACATTGCTATGGGATCGATACCCACTACTGGTCACGTGCAATCGGTCTATTGACTTCCATAGGTGCACACACTACTACCAGCCACATCCACAACTTTAAGACAGAGTCTACGGCTGGTAGTATTACACAGGCCTATGGAAAATTACAGCAGCCACTAGGCTGTAGCTTCCACAGAAACACTGGTACAACTAGCCACATCCATAACCTTTGGACAGAGTCTAAGGCTGGTAGTATTACACAGGCCTATGGAAAATTACAGCAGCCACTAGGCTGTAGCTTCCACAGAAACACTGGTACAACTAGCCACATCCATAACCTTTGGACAGAGTCTACGGCTGGTAGTATTACACAGGCCTATGCGAAATTACAGCAGCCACTACGCTGTAGCTTCCACAGAAACACTGGTACAACTAGCCACATCCATAACCTTTGGACAGAGTCTACGGCTGGTAGTATTACACATGCCTATGCGAAATTACAGCAGCCACTACGCTGTAGCTTCCACAGAAACACTGGTACAACTAGCCACATCCACAACTTTTGGACAGTCTAGCAGGTAACTAATTACCAATTTAGCCAACAGCAGATATACCAGGCATGAAATGGGACAGAGGGGTACCCCCCCAAGTCCAATCCCTCTACACACTCCAGCCTATTGTCACTTAACACATCCCCCAAGATGTCTGAAAAGAATTCCTGAGATACCAGTATAACGACGACCAACACAAAGGCGGGGGGGGGGGCATTCTCTGTCCGATAGTTTGCTTCATATGACAGCAGGTGCGATATCCAGAAGACCCTGTTGACAGACAGACAAATAAGAAAAGCCTCACCTGTACGCCGTTGTCGTACGATCTCCGTACGGTGTTAGCCCGGGTGTTGATCCAATACACTCTCTTCTCTTGGGCGTCGTATTCAATCGCTCGGATGTTCTTACGAGAGTTGTAGATGGGCAAGACAACGTCAGGACTGTTTCTGTAGTCTACCGCCATGCGACTGATGGTGTTCTTCTGACTGAAGAGAAGAAATCTGTCTGGAGCTGCAAAGGGGGAAAAAAAACAAAATCAAATGTCGCCATGGAATTCCTAAAATATTCAAACTCAATTTTGAATTTACTTTATCACCGCATACGTCAAACTGAAATAAAGTTGTAAAATCTTAAAACATTTAGAACACTGCAAAATTGTTCTTAATAGACCACTATTATTTTTCTAGATAAAGTAATGTTTTTAACTGTACAATCACAAGCAATGCTGTCCTTCGGTCATGATTTGTGTTTTTAAATACAACGAATGAACGAAACCAAATTGGAATTCTCTTTCCTTTTGGTCATTTGTTCAGCGTTGGAGACTTACGTGTGCATGTCTGTCCATCTTCATTCAGCGTATAGTGGGTAGGGCATTGACAGACATAATCCCACTCTCCTGTGGTAACGTTGGGATGTGACAGGCAGAGAAACTGACATCCTCCATTATTAACAGCACATTCGTTCCATCCTACATGGACAAAACAAAATCACACACCATCTTATCAGTCAGCACTCCACTGCAGTCCAGCATCTCTCCTCAAGATGACCAGAGCATCCTGGTCCAAACGTCCAGTCGGTTTCTCTCACAGCAACCACTCTTGAAAGAGGAGATCAATTTCATATGGTGTTCCCACAAAATAACAGTCTAAAACAAAGACTAATTAAGATGAGAACTGCACTGCTTGGCATTCTGTCTCATGGTCCCAATGTTATTGAACTGCTCAGCGGAAAATACCCCTCACCAATATTCTGGGCTCAGGAAATATGGCACCAACCAAAAATATAGATAAGAAGCATAATACGGCACATTATCACAGAACAAATCTATGACGAGACAAAGACTGACACATATATTTCAAAGATGGAACAAGGCAGACGACCTTACCCGATTGTCTGGAAGAATGGAAGACTAGGATGTCCAAGACGTACTCCAAGCCATCTTGGATGAGGGTGCGGTTCAGCCCATTAGTCTTGTTAGCTCGTTCAATACTCTGTGTTTCCCAGTCGGCCCAGTAGATGTAATCCTGGTACTGAGTCAGACCAAAGGGGTGGGGGAGATCGTCGGGGATGACACGACGTCTGCTACCACCTGAAAAAACAAAGAGCACAAATGCCTCAAGATTTAATGAATTTTATTCTATAGTCCAAAGCTCTATGTAGGGTGCATATATACTATCCGGAATCCTCCAAACTCCTCATCTATCAGGGGAACCGATGGAACTTGTTCTTAAAGGGGATATCAAATCAAAGGGAATGTTCAGAGCTCCATCTTCCTAAATCCTTCAACATCTTACAAAACCTCCAAACAAGAAGGCTCTGGTTAAGGACCAAGTGAGCTGATTTGGCAAACGATGACCCCGACAGCACCTTCTGGCATCACACTTACCGAGAAGGTCAGCTGATTCGATGGTGTTGGTGTCCAGAGATGTCCAGTACAGCCTTCTCTCCAAGTAGTCTATGGTCAAGCCGTTAGCCCGGCCACCACGATAGATGACAGAACGATGTGTGCCGTCCATGTAGGCACGCTCGATCTGTGCCTGACCGCTGAAATCTGACCAGTACATATAGCTACAGGACAAAAAAAACAAAACAAACAAAAGCCATTGACCTTCTTGTATCTGCTAAATATCTATCCAAACTTATTACAGCTGTAATGAACTGTGGAACTGAAAATCACTGAATCACTTCTATCTTATTCCACAATTAGGAACAACCAAGAAAAGTTCTATGAGCCCCAAGCTGGACCAAGAGAGGGCAAAATTTTCCTAGCAACAGAAGCTCCTTTGGCGGGAACTGCACGTCACTGGTTCACAAACGACTGTGAAATGCATGCATTACTGGCACGTCGCTACCAGCAAAATGAACACTCATGACCAACATGGCTCTTTTCATCCGATGAGGGGTGCTTCAGCTCAAGGCGGAACGAGTACCAAAGTGAATATGCCGAGTGCGCAGTTATGTGTATAAAGGGCTAGAATGACTCAGGTTTGGTACCTACCCTTCAGACGGGTGTAAAGCTATAGATCTTGGGGATTGTACTCTCTCCCAGACTAACACTCGTCTGGCTGAGCCATCTAGCCGTGCCACCTCAATCCGATCAGTACCCGTGTCTGAGAAGTAGATATTGTGAGCCACCCAGTCGATGGCCATGCCTTCAGGGAAACTCAGACCAAACTCAATGACATTCTCGATACCGCTGCCATTCAGAAAAGCTCGACTGATCGTCTGGATAAAAGAACAAAATTATCAGAATAAAAACTTGCCTTCAGTAATAAACATACACATGATTATTCAAATATTCAAGCTGCCTTGCATTTTCAAACTTTTCTAAATGAGTCTGCAGTGCAGATCTTTAGATAAAACTTCCCTCTGCTAATGTGTGTGGTCAAAAATCACAGTAGTTCCCGAGCTTTTCAGACCATCTGACCAATGTTGGAGCCACCACACTTTTACTCTACTAAAATACCCAAACTAACCAAGGACAGTCGCATGCTATTGAAATAGAGTTGTACTTTCTGATTGTGATTGTATTTTGCCTTAGGAATGATGTACAGAAAACTTTGACTGCGTCAGAATGACTTGGCTATGGCTTGAAATTACACACGAGTCTATGGTCGCGGCTGCAGCCATTTCCTACACACTTGTGCCTAATTTTAATCCACAGCCAAACAATTCATACCTTGGCATCCATGTCACTCCAGTATATTCTGTTATCGTTGATGTCAAAATCCAACGCCCCTGCCTCCTTCACCCCAGTCAGAGGTATCTCAACGTCGTTGTGATTGGTCTCTAGGGATATCCGGCGGATGTCGCTGGCCAATGAGAAGAGCAGGAAGGCTTCGGGAATGATGCAGGTGCGCTGGTCCGCTAGAAGCTCGTAGCCGATTGGACAAGAGCAGATGATGCTGGGTGGAAGGTAGAAACAGAGGTGACTGCAGCCACCGTTGTTAGTACCGCAAGGGTTGTGACCTGGATGGTGACGGACGAAACAGGACAGGTAATCACAGATGACTTAGGCTTGAGAAGCTGATTATGAGTTGGGATACAAACTGGGTTCTTGATCAAATCTCATGATATGGGAAGAAAATTTGACAAAAGCTCATTGGGTACTAGTTGATCATATATTTATACTCGAATGACATGAATGATTTGATACCAGAACCGTTTCATCATTGCAGCTCTTCCTACACGTGGATCAGATGCCTTCAACAAATTAACAGGTGATTAGCACATTAACTGCATTGTCACTAATCAATAAATGGTGATTTATGACAGCTGGCATAACCAGTACTTAATTATAAAGACTAAAAAATGACCAATCAACTGACCATCTAATTGACCAACTAATTAGAGGACCCTACCTTGGACTTCTCTGACACTGCTGGCTGTCAGTCCCATAACATCTGACGTCTCCATAATCATCTGACGATCTTCTCCACTGTGTTTGTTGACTCTTTCGATGGTTCTCCGCTGCCAGTCAGTCCAGTAAATATAATCACCTGAGATTACACAAACAATGAAACGAGATAACACAAATGTACGGTTCTGTGCCATTTTGAAATTTACAATGGAACACGAAACTGAAGCAATGCAAACTCGCCCATCACGAAGAACCTTGAATGTGGGCTCTAAATTAAAAAAAAGAAATTAACCCTAACCATTCTAAACCTTACAAGCATGTGCAAAATTTCAACGGTCAGATGAGATTTGAAATTTTCATGATGGAGGTAGCACCATGGATACATCTCTTTTGAGTGGTACTCAACTTTTCTGCAGTCTCCTGATGACGGACAGCGCATACTTTTCGAAATGTTGAGCACCACCGGTTCTTTTTGGAACCCCACATACTCAAAAAGAGATATGTCCATGGTGCAAGCGCATACCTATCTAGTTCATTTCAAAGGTCCATAGGGGTTAGGGTTAATCTTCTCTTGCAATTCTTTCCAGGAAAAAAATTGTTTCCAGCAAAAAGAAATCTAAGGCCACTTCCTCCTAAAATAATAAAGCCCCAATTTGTGAGTGGAGACAAATCACACCTCTTCACTTGTCTCTCAGGCACTGGCTGAACAGCGCCCTCAACAATCACCACATAGAGCTAATAAAAAAATTTCCAGTTTGCATTGTGCAAAACTCACCCAGCAGACTGAAACCGAATATATGCGGTATCTCGTTATCCACCAAGACCCTGCGATTGCTGCCGTCCATATCAACCACCTCGATCCTGTCTTCCTTCCCGTCCCCCCAGTAGATCTTGCCTTCCTGGTGGTCGATGGCGATACCATTGGGCCAGCTGATGGAGGTGTTGATGAGGACTGAGCGGCCAGTGCCATCCAGGTTAGCTTTCTCTATCTTAGGGATTTCGCCCCAATCACTCCAGTAGATCAACCTGTCAGTATGAGGATAAGACAGGTGCATCACACTTTGACGAAACCAGATTGGACATCACAAGTCACACAAGTCTGAAATTCCCAGTGAAATCTGATGAAAAGCCTGGTTTTACTTAATGCTAGTAGAATGAAAACTAAAGCACGACAACATCTAACTTTGGAGTGTACAGCAAACACTCAGTAAACAGTGTTATAATACACGTCAGGCAGGGCAAAAAAATTAATCATAACTTCTCATCGGACTTGACATCTGAATATTAATAAAGAATCCCCTCTTCCATGTTGCATTGGGCAGATATAAGAACCAGACATATACACCGTAAGTACCACTATGAATTCCTCTTCAAACTTTTAGTCAGTTATGAAAAATCTCCAGGCCCTGTTTTACTTTAGCAACTGTTTATTTTCTAGAAAATCACACTTGTCCCCTTGCAGCATAACATCTTGGTGTGGAACCTACCCTGCCATTGGATCCACAGCGATCGCTCTTGGCTCGTCAAGACCTTCAGAGATCAGAACCTTTCTGGACGTCCCATTCAGTCGAGACACCTCGATCCTATCGGTACCCGTCACCGTCCAGTACAAGTTCCGTGCAATCCAGTCAATGGCGATACCTTCTGAATGGTCGATGTCTGATGTGACAATGTACTCACTCGCTGTAGGTCGCAAGACATGGGAAAATATATCAGACTACCAGAGAACAATGTCTTCTAACGTTTCTTTTTTAAAACCAGATTGACGTCCTTGACATGAAATTCTCAAGTCTACTATTGTTTGGCCTAGAATTTTTATGAGGATGAGACGCTTTGCTCCAAAGTTCCCTGTACAGGTGCTTCTTTAATATGTCATTTCAACAGCAATGACAATCGCATCTGGAACAGTTAATAGGAATGATTCACATACATTAACTTGGGAAGATCATCAAGTCAAATCACAGTTCTCTATCTTTGCCTGTGAACACATCTTTGGCAGATGTTCTACGACAGGCCAATGGTCTGGTACCTGGACTTCCGAATATTCTGGCATGGAGTCACAACAAAATCCCTGCACATCTTACCGGATCCATCCAACTTAGCTCTCCTGATTGCCTTGACGTCATTATCTGTCCAATAGATGAAGCCTTCGACGGGATCGTAATCAATGGCCACAGCGTGTTGGATATCCTCCAGCGGTACAATAATGTCGGTATAGTCTGGTGTGTCCAAGGAGATCTTACGGATGTCCCTACGGCGAGCCAGGATTAGGATTTCTTGCGCGCCTGAAGACACAACACAAAAATTACCAGTCAGCACTCATAAATGACTTGGGTACTGTGTCCATGTCATCCTAGAGACACTGACAAAATTGGAGAGTTGTGTACTAATTTGTGCAAAATAAGTTAAAGGTGACGATTCTAACGCAACAGTGCCAATTTTGAGACAAAAATAACTTGCCTTTAACATGGCTTCTTTTACCCACATCAATCATTACCAACAACAACCAGTGTACTATTAAACTTTTTACTTTGAAGGCTTACACATAATGACATTAATCAAAAGTCCACAGGCAAATGTTAACACGTGCACATACTGTAAATGGGTACATGTAGGTTCAATTTTCCGTTTGGAAAGTGCCAAGTCAATACAATTTACAGCCCTTCGTATTACGTTTTAACGACCAATTTCACAAAACACTGGTTACCCTTTGGCTCGCACTGCAAACACATTTACAGTCCTCTATCATGTATTACTAATGACCAATTTTGCCGCACTTCTGTGCTTAATGTTGCCATTAGTGAATTGAAATAGACGCATTTGTGAATTATCAATGACAGCCCGTTAGCCACAAGCTAATGGAAGCCAGACTGGTGATATCATCAGCAGCTAACTGACAGCAATATGAAGCCCAGAGAATACCGTCTCGATGCTCTACCGGTGTTTGGATATGGAGAAAATTGTCACTGAGCAGTCATGCAAGACCTCCATGTGGCTGGCCTGCTGGATGGTTGGCTGGTTGGCTAGATGGATGGTCGGCCGGCTGTGGTTTTGAATATCAATAATTGCTCGTGCAGATTGACAAGTTCAGTCTATAAAGCTACAGCAGTGTTGGATGGAGACTCAGCTTTGACAAGTGGAAGCTGGCTTTCCTTGAAAGCCTCATCTATTCATCAATAATGAATTGACCAACATAAACATACTACTGCTCGACAGATCAACATGAGAACCAGCCCGTTATACCCATGCACAAACTTTAGCTCTTCATATGATCATTTTAACCGAGTAACACTTCCTCTACTATTCTTCATCTTGTGGTGTCTTGAAGCATTGTCCATCTACAGTGCAACAGTTACAACAAGGTACTTTACAAATTGGTTTCCAAACTGGGAAACAAAGACTTGGACTGAAAACTGCCCTTCTTATAAACATGATAAATTAAGAGTGCTCTTCTTATCGGTATTTGGCATTATTCCTATGCATGAATATTGGTTTTTCTCCACTGAAAATGACAAAAATAACTACCAAGAGGAAGTACAGTGCATATTCTATAATATATTGAAGTTACATGAGGTAACCTAATTGTCTGTCACATCCTACGATGAACATCCTAGCGGTACATGTGCGTAAAAGCTTGAACACTTTCCATTGCTCTTCAGTTCCATGCTGGGAATATATCAGCCCACATTTGGCTCTCTAATTTATGCCAACCAATTTCTGCACGTTAACCAGTTTCTGCACATTAACCGTGTCAAGAGCTCTCGTATGGTTAGCATGAGCAGATGACTGGTGTCCTCAAAAGCCGGGGCGCCGAGCAATTACCACCGGTAACACACAGGCATGAGAACCCAAGAATGCCTCTTTAATGTCACCAGACAGGGGCACGTCTCAGGAGGCCCAACCATCAATAAGCTCTGATCCCTTAGCTTTGTGTGGTTAACAGCCACAGATGTGCCACCATGTACCAGTAATGGGGGAGATGGAGGATGGGGGGGCAGAATGCCACCCCTCTGATGCCTATCACCTGCAGGTGGAGGTCAACGCTTCCTTGCTTGCCAAGTCGTGAATGATGACATCCCACTCTGTGAACATGGGCCTCCGGAAATAAGGTCAGGATGTCATAGTTACCACAGCGCCCTCTAAGATCCAGGAAAGTCAGTGTTGTCGTGAGTGACCCACCACAAAGCTAGGCTACATATACATGTATGTAAACTAAAAGGCTGACTGCTGCAAACCAGAAAGTGTAACCTTACAGTGGAATTGAAGAGTGAGATCGATAAAATAACCCAAATCAGAGGAAAGCCTACACGATCACATGCAACATGTGCATATTTATACATTAAACATACATTTATGTACCAGTATGTCACTTTACAAGTCACCTGCAAACACTGCCTTGTACACTTTTACTCTAACCGGGTCCTAACACTGGGCTCTTTCTGGGAGATTTTGTTGATGTGTGAAGTTAACAAAAGGCAGTTTGTTCTAGCTGAACTTTGTCAGGTTTAGCAGGCTTCACACTTTTCTTGTGTTGGATTTTGTTGGATCCAGCACGATGCCTATGGAAAGCCCGAAAGCGGTTAGGGCACCGGTAAGTGATCATACAAGCCCATGTACACTGTGTAGGGGCAACATTGGTTCTACCTTTACACACCGGTAGCCCTTGTACGTACACTGTAAGGGCAACATTGGTTCTAGCTTTACACACTGGCAGCCCAAGTACATGTACACTGCAAGGGCAACATTGGTTCTAATTTTGCACACCGATAGCCCATGTACAGTACATGTACACTGTGAGGGCGACATTGGCTCTAGCTTTACACACCGGTCATGCCGGTAGCCCGTGTACATGTACACTGTAAGGGCAACATTGGTTCTAATTTTACACACCGATAGCCCAAGTACATGTACCGCTACCGTACATGACTGCACAGGCTCCACTTTTAATTTTTTTTGTGATGCACACCTCCAACTTTCTCTCTCTGGCCAACTTTCCCACACAGTCTGGCCCCATCATAGCCTTACCCAAATAAATCAGCCACATTCGCACATTGCATGGCGTGACGACAGACTGACAACGATTAATGGTGTTGCCCCACTCTCATGCATGTCAATGCGAGGGGGGAGGGGGCTACTGCGACTTAGGGCCAGACATTGAACTCACACTTTATGCTGAGAGAGCAAAGGTGGCTGACTGTGGCCATAGTTGTGAAACGTCTTGGGTTGGGTTCATGATGGCCAAAGAATGACGACGCGGCAGGCAGTGATTTTATGAACATTGACAACATTCTGCAACATTTTCCATTAAAATTAACAATTTTGAGTAAGCATTGAGGAATAGTGGCTATTTCTTCAACGAAACATGGTATTTGACATTCCGGTATGTGTAGGTATCAGGTATCGGTAAGCCTACAATTGTTCCACACAAACATGCAAATTTTGACACAAACGCAAGAATATTCAAATTCAACAGAGCAACCATACAAAAACATGTGCATACAACATATTTCTTTTATACTAAACGAATGTAGTTTGTCGGAGTTATTCTCCATGGGAATGACACCAAACAAAACTTTACACGTGCTTGGCCTCACTCCAAACCTATCAATGATTTATGATGCCATCCAGCCAGCCAGAATGCCCAATCCGGTTCTCCAGCACAAACAATCCATACCCAAATAGACTTGACAGTTACTACAGGCCACAATCCTGTCAAGACTGGCTCCGGATTTTTTTTCCAGTCTCATTTCTTTCACCTCCTTGCCCTGGCTCTCTGCAGCCTGAAATTTGCCCGTCTTGAAAGATTTGCACATGCTCAACATGTCAGGGATGCCAAGAGGCTGAGAAGTGTAGGCAATGGATTGAGTAACACAGGCTGGAAGGCAACTAGTAACACGTCATAAATTTTAACTGCTTTGTAAAATTGGCTCATTTGAATGCTTCAAATGGACCTGAAATATGCAGAAAAGCTTCCTCGGTCTTCAAAAAAAAAAATGTGATGAGTGCGATAACTGACCATTTGCAATTGATTTTGTGGATGTCTTCCCTGCCACTGAAGCAGGGAGGATTTCTACCATATCACAGCAGCATCTGCCTGTGTCCCGGTACATGTACAGTGCATTGTACCCGCAGTTTGAGAAAACAGGAGCATTGAACTGGATTTGGACACCCCACAGAAATTTCTGAAATTCTGAGGCCGCGTCGGCAGTCCTGAATCACAATACAAAACTTTTCACTTTTAACAACAGGTACCAGTAGAATCAGAAAAAACAGAATTCCATGGCTGAATTTTGGGTCATTAGATCCTCATAAATTCAATCCTTTCCTAGAAACTGTCAACAGTTCCTGTTTTCATGGCCACAGACAAAAAAATGGAAAGGATAATGTTAGCATGTGCTGGCTGGGACCATGTTGATAAAACGTAGGTCCATGCCACCCATCAATCAATCAGCCCTAGTCATTCCACCTGCACCACATGCCACAGCTAACATGCTCATCAAACTGTCAAGTCAAATTGCTTTCGCACTGTGCACACACATAGCCTTGCTGGATATCTTTGACCATGAAATCTCACCCAGAGTGATGATTACAACACCTAGGTATGTTAATGTGGCCATAGATTCCCACTTAAAAGGCATTCCACTTCACACCAGTTCTAAAACCAAAAAGTACTCAAGAGAAGCAGCAAAGCAGAATCAGTCAAAGGACACAACATATTTTAACAGGGGACAAGATTTTCAAAGCAGCACAATTTGGAATGAAAATTTCTTTAACTTCACACCACCTTGTCACTAAATGAGGCTGGCAAAATTGGCGATTAGGCCTTGTAAGGATTCTTGGCTGTAAGATTAAAATTATTGAAGAAATCACATCCAAGCTGGCTCACTGCCACAAAGAAAACCAGCAAGAGATCTTTCTTTGCGGCTTGGTAAACTACTTCAGGCAAACCTACCGTTGGCACAGGTCAATCTGTCCGACTGTAACCGCACCCCAGTAGGACAAGCACAGGCGTAGAAAGGAGGGTCTGGTGACATCAGACAGAGGTGAGAACAGCCTCCATTATTCACTGCACACAGTCTGGAAACTAATCGGGAGAAAAAGGAGACCAAATGTCAGAGGCGTCCTACAGAATATCCTGACTGGCTAAACACAAATCCAAGCAATGTGTTGTTTGTCCGGTCCATGCATGTTTTCCCTTTGTTTTGCTTGCATGCACACCCCCAAAACCTGGTTCTTAACCCTAACCCTCCCAAATCCTCCAAAGTCCTTTTCTGCAAAGTGGAGGAATTTGGAGGATTCAGGTGTATGGCAAAAGTGAATGGCTGATTTCAAAGGACGCCATGTGTGAAGGTCGTGGATTAGACCTTATGTTGCTTGTGCTTAGTGAAGCACAAATTCAGTTTGGTATTTCTTTTGAATCAACTGCACAGCTCAAGAGTGCCATTTGCAAT